TGGAATTGCGACTGGCTAAGGATGTGAAGGATAACAAGAAAGGTTTCTACAGGCATGTTAACAAGAAGAAGGTGATCAGAGAGGGTGTAGGGTCCCTACTGGATGAAGGAGATAACTTAGTGACAGATGATGTGGGGAAAGCTGAAGTACTCAATGCTTTCTTTGCCTATGTCTTCACGGACAAGGTCGGCTCCTGGACTAATGCGCTAAGTGATGCAAGATGGGATGAAAATGGACAGCCCATGGTGGGTAAAGAACAGGCTAGGAACTATTTAGAAAAGTTAAACGTACACAAATCCATGGGTCCGGACTTAATGCATCCGAGGGTACTGAGGGAGTTGGCAAATGTCATTGAGGAGCCTTTGGCCATTATCTTTGAAAAGTCATGGAGATCGGGAGAGATCCCAGATGTTTGAAAAAAGGCAAATGAAGTGCCCATCTTCAAAAAAGGGAAGGAGGACGATCCAGGGAACTATAGGCCGGTCAGTCTTACCTTGGTTCCTGGAAAAATCATGGAAGGGATCCTTAAGGAATCTATTTTGAGGCACTTGGAAGAGAGGAAAGTGATCAGGAATAGTCAGCATGGATTCACAAAGGGCAAGTCGTGCCTGACCGATCTGATTAGCTTCTATGATGAGGTAACTGGCTCTGTGGACATGGGAAATACCTTGACTTTAGCAAGGCTTTTGATATGGTCTCCCACAATATTCTTGCCAGCAAGTTAAGGGAATGTGGATTGGATAAATGGACGGTAAGATGGATAGAAAGATGGCTAGAAGGCCGGGCCCAGCGGGTAGCGATAAACGGCTCGATATCAGGATGACGGTCAGTTTTTAGCGGAGTGCCACAAGGTTCAGTTCTAGGACCAGTTTTATTCAATATCTTTATTAATGACCTGCATGAGGGGATGGATTGCACCCTCAGCAAGTTTGCAGATGACACTAAGCTAGGGGGAGAGGTCGATACTCTGGAGGGCAGGGATAGGGTCCAGAGTGACTCAGACAAATTGGAGGATTGGGCCACAAGAAATCTGATGAGGTTCAACAAGGACAAGTGCAGAGCCTTGCCCTTGGGACGGAAGAATCCCAAGCATAGTTACAGGCTGGGGACCAACCAGCTAAGTAGTAGTTCTGCAGAAAAGGACGTGGGGGTTACAGTGGATGAGAAGCTGGATATGAGTCAACAGTGGGCCCTTGTAGCCAAGAAGGCTAATGGCATATTAAGGTACATTAGGAGGAGCATTGCCAGCAGATCCAGAGATGTCATTATTCCCCTTTATTTGGCTCTTGTGAGGCCACAGCTGGAGTATTGTGTCCAGTTCTGGAGCCCCCACTACAAAAAGGATGTGGACCATTGGAGAGGGTCCAGCGGAGGGCAACCAAAATGATTAGGGGGCTGGAGCGTATGACCTATGAGGAGAGGCTGAGGGAGTTGGGTCTGTTTAGTCTGCAGAAGCAAAGAGTGAGGGGGAATTGGATAGCAGCCTTCAACTTCCTGAAGGGAGGTTCCAAAGAAGATGGAGAAAGGCTGTTCTCAGTAATGACAGATGGCAGAACAAGGAGCAGTGGTCTCAAGTTGTGGTGGGAGAGGTCCAGGTTGGATATTAGGAAAAACTATTTCACTAGGAGAGTGGTGAAGGCCTGGAATGGGTTACCTAGGGAAGTAGTGGAGTCTCCATCCCTAGAGGTGTTTAAGTCTCGGCTTGACAAAGACCTGGCTGGGTTGATTTAGTTGGGATTGGTCCTGTCTAGAGCAGGGGGTTGGACTTGATGACCTTCTGAGGTCTCTTCCAGCTCTATGGTGAAAACACAGATTGATAAAGCCAAAAAAGTACCCAGACATGAACTACTTCAAGACAGGCCTAGAAGAGAAAACAACAAAATTCCACTCGTTATCACCTACAGTCTTCAACTTAAACCCCTCCAATGCATTATCAACAATCTACAAACTATCCTAGAAAATGACCCCTCACTCTCAGAGGCCTTGAGGGAAAGGCCAGTTCTCATTTACAGACAACCCCCTTGCCTCAAACAAATTCTTTCCAGTAACCACGCAGCACACCTCCATCATAATCGTCCAGGAACCCACCCCTGCAATCAGCCCCAGTGCCAACTCTGCACACACGCCTATACCAGCGATTTCATCACTGGACCCAATGACAACAGCCACCGAATCAAAAGCTCATTTAACTGCACATCCACGAATGTGATCTATGCCATCCAATGCCAGCAATGCCCCACTGCCATGTATATTGGCCAAAATGGACAATCTCTACAGGAAAGAATTAATGGACCCAAATCAGATATCTGAAAAGGCAACACACAAAAACCTGTTGGAGAACACTTTAATCTGCCTGGATACTCATTAATGGAGCTCCAAGACACAGTTTTGTTTCAGACCAATTCACAAGCCAAATACACAGAGAAGGATTGGAACTTAACTTCATTCACAAGTTTAATTCTCATGCCTATTGTTTCAGTCATGATATCGGATGGCTCGCACATTATCAACCAACCAAACAATGAAGGTGCTAATGGTTCTAGATGTCGGTGTAGAATCTGGTGTTGGTCATCTTCCTTTCCAAGTGCAAACCAATGGTTCTTATCAGCCTCTTGTAACTATTTAGCCTTTACAGTGCTACTAGACTATTTGTTGTTTTTTAAATCTTTCCTGTTACAGACTAACTATCCCCCTCCCCGCCCGAAGCTTATCTCCTGCAAGGAGGTTTAACGGTAGTTCGAATTAGGAGCTTTAATTCGAACTACCAAGTCCGTGCCGCGTGTAGCCGCAGACAGGTAGTTCGAACTACAGGCATTTAAAAATGGCGCCCGCCCGGGAACATGCAAATGAAGCACAGGATATTTAAACTTTGAATGCCTATATTAGCCACCCTAGTTCGAACTAGGGTGGCAGTGTAGACATACCCTAAGGGAGTCTGGGTCCAGGAGGCTAAGGGCGAGGGCAGGAGCTTGATGTGTAGGAGGGGGTATATGGCTGGGGCAGGGGTTTGGAGCTGGCTCTAGCTGGACACTGCTTACACCAGAGGGCTCTTGGGTGGTGGTGCAGTGGTGCTAAGGCAGGCTCGCCCCTGCCCTGGCCCTGCACCACTCTCAACAGTAGCCAGCATCCCTCCATTCTAAGCTCTATTGTGCGTCTGTGGCGACAGAATACAGGGTGGGAGAGGGGGCACCCTGACATCAGCCCCCCCCCTTCCCTGCTCTGCACAGAAAGCAGGTAGCTCCCCAGGGGAGGGCCAGCTCCAAGGCAAACGGCAGGAGATGCGCAGCAGTGTGGGGAGGGGCACCTGAAGTGCTATCACTTGACAGCCTCTTGGCCAAGCCAGTCAGGATCCCGTCAGAGGCTCCAAACTCAGAAATTCCATGGACTAGTCAATTAACCAATATTTAACATCCTTAACCCTGAGAAGAACTTTTTCCTAATGTCCAACCTAAACCTCCCTTGCTGCAATTTAAGCCCATTGCTTCTTGTCCTGCCCTCAGAAGCCAAGGAGAACAATTCCCCTCCCCTCCTTCCTGCGACACCCTTCTAGATACCTGCAAACTGCTCTCATGTCCCCTGTCTTCTCTTTCCAAACCAAACAAGCCCAGTTCCTTCAGCCTTGCCACATAGCTCATGTTTTCTAGACCTTTCATTATTTTTGTTGTTTCTTCTCTGGACTTTCTCCAAAGTGGTGCCCAGAACTGGGCACAATACTCCAACTGAGGCCTAATCAGCGCAGAGTAGAGCAGAAGAATGACTTCTCGTGTCTTGCTCACAACACTCCTGTTAATGCATCCCATAGAATCATAGAACCATAGAGCTGGAAGAGACCTCAGAAGGTCATCAAGTCCAGCTCCCTGCTGTAGGCAGGACCAATCCCAGAATCATGTTTGCTTTTTTTTGCAACAGTGTCACACTGCTGGCTCATATTTAGCTTGCGGTCCATTCTGACCCCTAGATCCCTTTCTGCAGGACTCCTTCCTAGACAGTCACTTCCCATTCTGTGTGTGTGAAATGGATTGTTCCTTCCCAGGTGGAGCACTTTGCATTTGTCCTTGTTAAACTTCCTCCTATTGACCTCAGACCATTTCTCTAGTTTGTCCAGATGGTTTTGAATTGTAAATGCAATCCCCTGACTTGAGGATTTGATGGTAAGGAAACACACCGACTCGCATAGACTTAAAATCAATCACAAGAACTGACAACAGGGCCATTTTGCAAAATGAGGTTACATCAGCATTTAACAATAATAACTCCCGTACCATCTGCTATTACCTGGGCCTCTTTGTGCTCCCTGCATAGCATGGTGGCAACAGTAATAAAATTACAATTCCCACATCCAGTTCAGGTTGGTTTAAATTAAACTCAATTTTACCACATGCCTTTGCATCTGCTTTGCACAGAGGGTCCCACTAGAGGGGCGCTCCCTAGCTGCTATACTCAGCTCAACACTTGCTGGGTCTGAGTACCTCTGGTAGCCCTGGCAGTGGGAGGTAGTTACTGCATTAGCTATGTCTGTGGCTTCTGTTTCAGATTACAGTTTTGACTAGTCAGCCAGGCAAAGATGTGGTGAAACAATTGGAAGCGGGGCTGAGAGAGATAGACCTGGTGAGTCTGCGGAAACTGCAGATCGTAGAGATCTCATCTGGAGACTTGCTGGAGTCAGCGAATGTGGAGTGGTGCATGCGCGCGGAGCCAGAGCTCAGCAGTGATGGTGAGTGCAGAGAGGAAGCACAATCGGTTACCTATTTGGCAAGCAATCCAATCACCAGATGCCCTGTAATATGTCAGTGGCTGCTGCTGTCGGTGGCACACATGTAACCAATCTTGCAGGTGGGACGTTGCTGAGCTAACAGAGGCATTCAAGGAAAGGCAGGCAAGTTTCCTACCACTGAACTCCCTGGGAGGCTCCCAAGAGGGTGGGCAGCTTGAATTCATGCCTGGGCTCTCTTGGAGCCTCATCTTCAGAGCCTAATCAGAGGATGTGCTGAATCAGTCCACTCCTGGGGTGCCCTCCTCTGTATTACTTCTCCAGCTGCCCTCCCATTGTCTGGGTGACACCAGCTAGCTCCTGGTCTCTTGGCAAAGAGGGCTGTGGGTGACTTGCACTAGTTCCAGATTTTCTGCTACCAAGGGCACATAACACAACTTACTGGGTGGGGCTCGAGGAGTGACTAGCCCTCAGGGGTTAAATGTCATTTTGGCTGGCTGGCTGTACTGCTAGTGCAGGCTTCCTCCTAATCTCTAGGGGCATTCTCAGCTATGGAAATTGAAGCAATAACAATAAGAAATTGTAGAACCAGAAATCCCTTTTCATTCCTGTTTGTAGCTTCCTGCTTTCGTAGTGAATAGGAGTGGGCACTCTTCTACACAAGAGATTCAAAGAGTTACTTAGGATGACAGCACCACAGCTCAATTTCGTGACACAAGCTAGCTTAATCTCTAGGGGTCCCTCTCCATCCGTCCAACACGGAATAGGTTTGAGCCCCCACCCAGTCGCACAGACCCTCTGGGCGCCTCTGAGAGGCCATGGTCCCCACTTGCAAGCAGAGTCTATGTGGGGGAAAGAAACCTGTAATAAAAGGGAGGAAAGTAACTTGGTATTCATTTGGGAAACCGCCACACACAGGGCTCATAAACAGAACCGACGAGTAATGGCCCCACCCCATGTAAGTTGGGCAGTTTACTTTTCCTTTCAGGTTCTTGCATTGCTGGACCTCAGTGTCCCCTTGTCAGCCAACGGTCAGGGCAGAGTGTGTGTGTGTGTTGAGAAGAGGTTTAATGTCTGTGACTTTACTGCTAGGACCGGGGTCCCATCACAGAGGGCAGCCAACAGGCTCTCAGACGCCCCGAGTTTATAGGAAGAGCTTATTACATCTCAGATTTTAGCTGCTAGAATACAGGATCCCTTCGCAGCGGGCAGTCTGGGGAAGACTGAGAGATGCCCCAATGGATCTGTCACCTGGGAGTGACAATCCAAATGCCCAAGCTCTTCCTATACCTGTCCCTTATGACCGGCTGAAGTTCTTTTAAATTGTGCTTGGTTCTGTTACAGCAACTATAGGAGTCAGGTTAAAGCTTAAACAGTTACTATTTTATTGTTACAGGGTAAACTTAGCTGTTAAATGCTACTACTGTGTTACAGATAACACAGCCACTACAAAGGACAGGACAGAAATTACACTAATAAGTCACTTACAGGTACCATGAAACCCTTTTGGTTCTCTGAGCTCTTATTAAATGCATGCAAAATAGACACTAGCAGGTATATATTCTCACCCCTGCGTTCCAGACTTGGCGGGACCAGCGTCTTTCTCTCAATCCCTCGGGAAGAAGTAGGGTGAGGTTGGGCATCCCACAGACCTCGGGACACAATCAATACCTGCCAGCAGGTGTAGATGATTGGAGCTCAAATGGGGTGGGCTACTGAACCCCTCTTTATACCCCTTGTGTCACATAGGCTTCTTCCTGGTCTCAAGTGGCCAATTAGGAAAAATGGCTTTGAACACTAAGTTTCCCACGAAGGGTGCAAAGCATAATTCACACCTGGGAAAATGAAGACAATGGGCACCTCTGGTATGTGATGGGCGAAGATTCCTCTCCTGGGACAGTGCAGGCGTGTCAATTACTGGTACTAGCCATCAGGGCGACGGAAGGCCCCGGGTTGTCAGCTAGCCCATTTACTGTCTGGTTTCTGTTTATGGTAGAGTCAGGGACAGGCAGCACACCTGCATTCCCAGAGCATCAAAGACTGATTGCCTTTCTCTTGCTCTCTGGGGGGCGGGGAGAACAAGATGGGGTTTATGTCTGGCTACACCCCTTCACATGCCCTGTCCCTCTGTGCACCCCACTCCCAGTCGCTGCCCTTGGTCAGAGATGCATCTGCAGAGTTCACCTCCCATCCTGAAGGGGGGGGGGGAAAGAGGCATCTCTTCCATTCTGCTGGCCACTAGCCACCTGCCTGCTGGCTTCTCATTGTCTCTCACCACTGCCACCCTGCAAGCCTCTCACCACATCTAGACATTATCTAATCCAGTGGACACTTACCCTTCTAGCAGTCCTTATGTGCCAACTTCCTTCTCTACTGGATCCACAGGTAGAACCCTGGGCAAACACACTGAAGTATGTGCCAAAGTTTGAAATCTGTTACCTAAGATACGTAAAAGAGGAGTTAAATTCAGATGTAATACAGTCTAAAGAGGAATAATTATACCAAAACCTATCAGTGTCCCTTTTTTAAGAGAGGATCTCAGTTAGAGTCCCTTATTTAGCTGGGCAGGACATGATTAGTTTTGTTGTTGGGCTCTGAGCAAAGGTGAAAGTAGGCCAGTGCTCCCCTGTGCAGTGCACTGGTACGAGTGGCTGGCCAGGGGCAGGGCTCCCCCCCCCGCCATGGCCATGGTACCAGCGCCAGAGCGCTGGGGGGCAGGGAAGCAAGGTCCCTGCAGCAGTGTTCTCTGTAAGATGAGCGCTTGGGCAGCTGCTCAGGACAGATCCAGATGCTGCCCAGTTGATTAGCAGAGCTCCCACAGCTAGGCTTTTTTTGTCTACTGGTGGTGCATGTTCGCACACGCTTCACTGCACATAAAACGTATTCCACGCATGGATGGAAAGGGCTAGTGGGATCATTGCCCAGTGGAGCCAAATTGGCACCCCCAGACCCTGGACAGCACAGCCACGGTGTCCCCAGACTCCTGCCCCAGTGCTTGGGCAGCCAGGCAGCATGGTCACCACCCTGGCCACTCCCAGTGCTCAAGCAGCTGGGCAGCACCGATGTTCCTGCCGTCCCAGTCAGCACCGTGGTCCCTGGAGATCTGAGATCCGGGCAGCACAGTGGCTGCATTTCCAGCTGCAAGCTCCCCACACTCTCCCTCTGCCTCCAACCCATTGCACTGAGCCCTCCCATGCCCTAGGCTCCTGCCCAGAGTCCCCCTGCTCTGACTCCTGCATCCCCCACCCTTGTGCTGAGCCCTCCCCCCACCTCTCAAGGCCCTGCCCTGATTCCTGCAGCCCCCACACTCTTGCATCCCTGCCAGCATCTCCTACCCCCTGCCGCCCATAGGGATGTTAGCTATCAATTAATTTAATCATCAGGTAACCACATCACATTGTAGTGGTTACATGATCATTCAGTAGTCCCCACGGCCAGGGCTGCTAGCCAGTTCACTCCCAGCCCTGCTGCCATGGAGCCCCCAGCCAGGGGCATTGTTTCAGATTTTGGTAGGGGGGCTGACCTGTGCATGCCATGATGTGGGGTGAAAGAGTGAGAGCATGGGGGAAAGACTGATGACAGAGGTGTCAGCAGTGTTACTGAGCATGCTCGGTACAAGCCAAGTACCAAATGGGAGGGGGCAGAAATCAACCCCATCTGCCCTCCCCCCCACACATCTCTATCCAGGGGCTACCAAGGCACTGGAAAACTACTTTCTTGGCAGACAGCGTGGCAGGTAGCTGACAGGAGCACTGTATCTAATTCCCATATAAAAGAAAGAAAATGAAATCAATATGGGACCCACTCAGCTCTAACACTAACATGTCCTGACATCGTGCGGCAAGTGGCTGAAGGGAACCGAGCAGCCTGCACACGTCAAATCTGAAATCCAGGACCTCTATGATGGCGTTCTCGGAAATGCTTCCAGTTCCACGTGCAGGGCCAGGTAGGCAGGCAGAGCTTCAGAGTCTCAATGCGTGGAGGAGACGATGGTGTAGGAAAGAGGGGTTTGGATTTATTAGGAACTGGGGACACTTTTGGGAGAGGGGGAGCCTATACAGGAAGGATGGGCTCCACCTAAACCAGGGTGGAACCAGACTGCTGGCACTAAACATTAATAAGGTCGTAGAGCAGTTTTTAAACTAAGAGATGGGGGAAAGCCGATTGGTGCGGGGATGCACGTAAATCGGAGAGAGACTTCTCTTAGAGGAGAATCCGTCGATAGAGATTCTCTAAGCTATAGTCGGAAAGAGAGGAGGGGAGAGGGCAAACCATGGGCCAGAGCTGACAAACAACCGCATACAAA